CCCATAGCTCGTGGGGCACTGTCATGGGGTCTAGGCTCCACAGCTCGTGGGGCACTGTCATGGGCTCTAGGCCGCATAGCTTGTGAGACACTGTCATGGGCTCTAGGCCCATAGCTCGTGGGGCACTGTTATGGGCTCCAGGTAGTTGGGTGCACTTATGCAGGGCGCTGCCATAGGATCCAGGTTCTCAGCTGGGTTCTGTGGGTCTCTAGAGTGTGGACATATTTCCTGCACTCTTTTTGTCTGACTCTTTGGGTGAGTGTTATAAAGAAACTCTATAAATTAGGTGTCCTGCATTCCATTGTTGCCCTTGCAAACCCTGATCACAACAAACTATGTTCTCCTTTACATTAACCTTTCATGTGTACTGGTAGTAAACAGAAAGAACAATGCCTGCTGAAGCACTGGCCTGAGCTGCAGTTTCAAAGCAGCCACTGTTACATACATTTTCATGCTAGTTCCAGTCTACCCAATGATCCAACACAAAAACAGGCATTAAGCACGTTTTACACATGAGAAATTTACAAATGAATTTAGGATGTGTATATGGAAGAGTTAGGATTTGATAGTGCATCCAAAAGTTCAGGGTCTTGGGCTAGGGATACAGCTTAGCAGCTCAGTGTCTGCCTGGCAAGTGCATGGTCCTGAGTTTGAGGCCCAGTACCAAAGAAAATTCAGGGTCTTGCCAGTAGATCTTGCCACTTCTTACAGGATTAGCAGTGTTGTACAAAAAACAAGCTTTAATCGCACTTGCTTAAGGATACAGTTGCCCACACCAACCCATTTCTAGGGCAGAAGTAACACAACCCTACCTCCGCTTGAGCTTGCTGGGCTTAGGCTCAGGGGGGTCCTCTCCACGCTCATCCTCATCGCTCCAGCCGGCGTGTGGTTTACCTCTGCGTGTGTCTGGTCCTGAAGACTCCTGTGACTCTAAAAAGGCACAGACATTACAATGAGATTTCCCTCGTGTGCCAACTTTCCTGCCACTTACAAACACAATAAAATGTCTCAGTGGCTTTCCTGAACGAGCTAGGTACCTCAAGCAAAGTACCAGGTTATATCTGCCTGCATTTCTACGTGCTGAGTTGGAGAAAACAAAGTAGTTACATCTTTATAATGTCTAAAAGTTTCTGCAATCTAATCACGGTGCACAACAACGTTCTGGTCAACAGTGGACAGGTTTACTCTTCAATGGCGATGGCAGATTAATCAACCAGGAGCATCTTCACTGTTGCAGCTTAAGTACACGCTAACGCCTGCACAGCAATGAAGTCTAATGATGTAAACCTCAGACCGCAGAGCCACCACAAAGCCACACAAGACTGGACTTTAAAAAAGAAGCTACAACTACTTGTCTAAATCTATACAAGTTAGGCTACAGAGGTATTTTGCAGTAGCTCTTAGCAGTGGTATTCTTACGATTTTCAATCTAAATGAGTAGAAACAGCATGATCGTACTTCTTAAAAATAACATCCCTTCATTATAAAGCAAAATTATCTGCTTTAATAACGTAATAGTAGAAGTAGTCAAGGCAAGTGCTACCATAAAAGAATAATTTTAAGGGCCGGCCTGATAGTTCAGTGGACTAAAGCACCTGTTTAGGCAGAGAGCAGCGGGCAGGGTTCGATCCCTAGTGTGCCGTGCTGGCCCCGCCCCCTGGGGTAGGCTGAGCTGGTGATTGAGACTGGGTGTGGTGGCACAGGCCTGCAATCCCAGCACTCGGGAGGCTGAAAACAGGAGGACCACTATGAGCCGATCCATGTAGTGAGACCCTGTACTAAGGACGTTAAAAAAAATCCTTTGAACTGTGGGGTCTTCAATATGACATGTGTCTATCTCTGTCCTATATTTTTTCAGAATGAAGGACAGATAGATGAGATAGAAGGGAGAAGGTGCGTACAGGGTGGCTAACAGGCGTGCTCACAGAAGATACGCTCAGTTAGGCGGGCAAAACAGCTGACAAGGACACGAAAAGCACACCGTACGCTTGGATCTCAGCCTAGGAGCCCAAGCAAATCGAAACCTAAAACCCTCCACTTGACGCAGACAGCAGGCACCGTGGAGCGCCCAGGTGAGACGGCCAGCCCGCACACCTCACAGAGGCACTCGCAGCAGAGATCGGGCTATGAAAAGGCTTGGGTGCTAAGGAAAGCGAGGACGTGGAGTCACAGGGGAGATGGGAGCTGATGTGCGCTCCAACGTGGGCACCACGGATTTTATGGCTAAAGTAAGTACTGAAACATCAGAAATGGAAGACTATGGAAGACTAATGTGAGATTTTTACAAAAGGAGAAAATAACCTTTTGCTTCATAACAAGGCTAAGAAGAAAATCAGGGGCCTGGGAGATGGCTCAGTAGAATAAGTGCTTGCCTGGCAAGCGCAAGGGTCTGAGTTCAATCCCCGGTTCCGCAAAAAAAAAAAAAAAAAAAAAAAAAAAAAAAGGCAAAAGAAAATCACTTTTTCCTGGATTTTTCTAGTGCCAAACATCAAGGCCAAGATTCTACAAATTGAAATTGTGAAACACGCTCTTTCCACACTTCTCTGGTATCACTGTTAAAACTTCTTAGCCAGAGTACGCTCATCCCACCTGAACTCTTCACACTCTTCATCAGCTTATTTTAGTTCTAACAGCAGCACCAGCTTGTACAGTGCTTTAGAAAAACTTAGGGATCAACCAAGTTGATATCCCGGGTATCTCATTGATGAAAATCCTGAAATCAACCCATTCAGTCATAAATGCCTCGCCCTGCTAATACTGCAGAGCAAGATTTCACCTGCCCTGCATGAATTCCACAGGACTCCTGTTCGCCTGATGTCAAACGTATGCTGTTAACCACCATCCAATTAATATGCTCCTCAAAATGGAGGGAGTGTCAAACTTACTCTAAATTAAATTCCTCAAGAGGCTTGAAATTTTTGTCCTGTCCTCCAAGGTGAAAGAGGAAGAAGAGTGTTGAAGATCATGTGCGTGTTTATTAATGCACATAGGTAATAAGCTATTTATGATACAAAAATAAGATCACTAAAAATAAGTACCTTATTATAATATGAAATAGTCAGTTGGCATTTAACTCCACAATTAAGGGTTAGTGATCCACTTAGTGAAGCACACGGATCCTGGCAACCATTCCCTAGCAACGAGCTAAGCTCACCTGGAGCTGGCTGCTCTGCGCGTCCGCCCCCGAAGTCGCCTGCCTTGCTTCCTCCGTCACCCGGCTCACTCTGGCCAGAAGCAGGGCACTCTTTCCCACCACTACATCCATTTAGCTGCCCACCACAACTTCCAGACTCCAACTGGCTGTGTTCTACTTCCTTTGAACTCAGAGTCATATTACCAATGCCATCGAGTATGTCACTAGGGTCACTTGAACGAGAGCTTTCTTTACCAACTGCATTAGGTAAAGATGGAAAAGATGTTAAGTCAATTTTTGTGCAGTCCTCATTTTTTTCCTTGTCAGCTTCTGTCTTCGGAGCACAAGTGTCTGTGTCACAGCTTTGTGAGGCATCAAAAGTCCAGCCCTGAGCTTCCCAATACTGAAACTGTTCCAAGTAGAACCAATAAAGCTGGCTGTAGTGCTGTTCCCACTCTGCCTTTGTGTCAGGACGGCTCCAGGGCTCAGGACACAGCGTCTGATCTGGGTGCTGTTCTTGCCAGCTCTGCCACAGCAGTCCTTCTCCGTATTTATTCCAATATTTTCCCCACACCTCTGTAATTTCTGGCTTTGGAGAGAACATGTTTTCAGCAGGGAGGTCTTCTGCTTCAGTGCGCTTTGTGCTTTGAAGTTTGTCTGTTCCGGTCTTCTCAAACTGCTCAACAGAAGACGGGTCATCTGAGAGCAAAAGGTCCTCTTCTTCATAATCTTTTCTCCAAGATTCTTGCATAATTTCATCTAAGTACTTCTTTCGATGTTTTATCTTTTTCTTTTTCACTTTAACTTTATTTCTAGTATTCATAGATACCTACATGAGACAAAGAGTAACTTGAATATAAAATATACCTCATCATCTATGAAAGAAAACAGAATCCAATCTACTTTGAAATAAGTCAACCAAAATACTTTCAAACTGCAACTGGGCTTTTTATTAGGCAAACAAGTTGTTTTTACTAAGTTTCCAGAGGAGGAACAGTCACGTGTGGGACGCACCACAGCCTGTGGCTCTGGGTAACTTATTAACATGTACATTTCAAAGTGGTCTAGTGTTCTAATCATGAATGACTTGATTTGGGACACGAAATTAGTTTCTTATACCACTTTATGAAGAAAACCAAGCAACAGAAATAACAGAAGTCCACTAACACTTGCCTCAAAATCGCTACGTTCCGACACCCTGCCAAACTGCAGCGGCAGCCCCATGCTTCGCATGAGCTCGGCCTCGGAGTCGAGCTCGCTCTCACCCAGCTCTACGCCCTTGTTCTCCACAGACTCCGCGGTGCCACGGGGAGAGCCCTCGTCCTCCTCTTCTGCAACTTGGTCTCCTGCAGAGAGCACTCGTTAGCTTAGTTCAGAAAAAACTTAAGAGGCAGAGTTTCTTACCCTCATTTTAAAAAACCTGAGATTCAGAATGGCTACATGACTCGCTCAAAGTCATGCAACTGTCTCTATTTTTTATGAAAATATAAATAACTGATGGTAATATGGTCTGATATCAACAAGTCATCACAGACCCAAGGAAGCAGAGCGCTCCGCCTCTCCTCTCGCTCTGCCTCCCATGATTGACCCTGCAGCCCACAGGATTTGCACGCCTTGAGCATTTGCGTTGTGCCCGGCATTGTGCAAATGACTGAGGATGGAGGAAGGGCAGTGCAACTGTGGGGAAAATGTGTACTTCTTCACGTCCTGACCTGCAACATGCATCAATTTAAGACTATGATTTGCAAACACATGTACTGGTGTTAATCAGAAAGGTAGGAAACGTCTTCAGGCTGCCAGAGACCCTTCAATTCCACTAGGATCTAGGGCTTGGGATGCTGAGAAAGAGCTGATTTTATTAAATACTCCTATTTAAAGCCTGGAATCCACAGAACCATAGTTCTTTTAAGCTCCTTGATTCTAGATCTTATAGAAAAAGCATTCATCATAAAAAAGCAAATTCATCTACCCCAGCATGACTACAGATGCACGCTGCGGTTGAGATCGAGGATGCCCCATTCCTGATGCCTCGTGTTCAAAGGTGGGCCTTGGGAACATGGGGGTGCTAGAATAGCTAGTGTCCCAGCCCACCGGGTGGTAGTGAACGTGCCATCAGGAGACGGACACAGGCTGGAAGGTGCCGGCCCCTGGAGGTAGACCCAGAGGTCTCTTTCCCCGGCCCATCTGTCCCCTCTGCTTCCCGGGGGCTCCGAGCAGCTGTCCTCTACCCAGGTCCTTCCACGACACCCTTTCTGCCTTGCAGACAGTCAACTATGGACTGACTCCAATGAAAACAGGGAGCCCAAATAAGGTCTTCCTCCTCAGGTTATGGGCGTCAGGTGTTGTGTCCCAGTAACAAGGAAAAGACTAAGGTAGATTTTGGTGAGGAGCTGCTGTGGCTGTACCTGACCATGTGGTTTAGAAGTCTCTGGAACTCAGCTGCAGAAGGGAAGAAAGGTCCGGAGAAGCAGGCTAGAGAAAGCCTAGAATGTCGAGTGGTGGCTGATTTGTGATACAGGTAGGATCTCACAAGACCAGAATTCTGATAGAAAGGAACAACAGGGCTGGCCAGATAGCTCAGTGGATTAAAGTGCCTACTTAGGCAGAGCGCAGCAGCCAGGGTTCAATCCCAGGTGTGCCATGCTGGCCCTGCCCCCAGGGTGCAATAAGACTGTGACTAAGACTGGACGTGGTGGCACATGCCTATAATCCCAGCCCTTGGAAAGCTGAACAGGAGAACCAGTAGAGTCCGGTATGATGAGACGCTGTACTAAAAAAATAGAAAGAAAGGAACAATAAGGGCCAGGCTCAGGCCAGGTTGTGGACAAGAACTCCACAGCAGGTGAACTGCAGACTAGGTGTGTTTCTGGCATGAAATCAGTCTACATTTACACTTTGACCATATCCTGGATACTGAGATTAGGAGCAGCAGACTAATGAATCTGGTGGAGGAAACTTTAGAGCAGCCCAATGTTCAGGCTGTAGCATGGATACTTGCTGGCTGCTTGAGCCAGATTTATAGTATCAGGAACAGAGAGCAGAACTGAATAATCTGAAAAATTTGCAGTTTCATCAGAAAGCAAACCCCTGCAAAGTTGGGTCAAAGGACAATATGGATGCTGAAAAGATTAGCATTAAAAAGGCAAGCACTTTGGATGAGCACAATAAGAAAGATGCCTTGCAGTACTGCAGGACTCAGCAAGACACCACCCTTCCATGGTCAAGGGTGAAAACTATAGTGTTCACTTGAGAGAGCGCACAGGCTACTTGCTCCAGAAGGGCCCCTTCGGGAAATGGCTCCGAGATTGGTTATCCTGGTAGTCAGAGGCCGACAGTCAAGATCTCAGGGGGCCAAGGTCTGTCTAGCTAGGGCCATCCAAACTGTGCTGGTTTTACAGGCATGCAAAATGCAAGAGTTACAGAGACAGAGAAGTTTCCATCCAAATTTCAGAAGGCTTGAGGCCAAGCGGTGTGCCTAAGAGAGGGCAGGGCATGAAAGCGCGAATGTAAAGCTAAAGTGAGCACTGGAGATGCCAGGTAAGGGAGATGGCAGGAATGCAGAACTGGATGCCAGGTAAGGGCGATGGCAGGAATGCAGAACGTCTGCTGAGGACCACAGGAAGCTGTTGTGGGTACCTCACGAGACAGGCCACTGGCGACTCCACAGCGTAGGGCTGCCCAAGCCCTCTGGAGCTCAACTTGCCCCAGGCTCGAGGCACAGAGCCACAGGATTCGCTGTGTGCCATCAAGGCTGTGGCCTAGCTTTGGGCCCCTTCCTTCCTACCCTATCACTCCCCTTTGGAATAAGAATGCTTACCCTATGCCATTGTACACTGAAGTATTAACTTTCAAAAAAATGTTTGCAGGGATTCATAGCTAAACATTTGCCTTAAGTCTTGGAGACTCGAGCTTTTCAGCAACACTGGAACCGTTAGGGCTTTGGTGACTCTTAAGAGATGGACCGAATGTGCTTTGAATAGAAGTGCGCATCAGTCTTTGGGGTCCGGGTAGAACTTTATGATTTATACTCAGCTGTCCCTCAAGACCTTCAGCACTCAGAGCTAGAGCTCCTGAAAGGTGGAGTATGGGGCACCATGGCGGACTTGCTGTTGGAGGCAGGCTGGGCTCAAGGGTCACCCCCCTCCACAGCTGCTCTCCTTTCTCCGCCCGACCGCCGCGACCAAGCAGCTCCCCACAGCAAGCCTTCCTGCTACTGCACTTGTGCATCTGAGCTGGGCATCCATGGGTGAGACTTCTGCTCTGTGTCCCAGGTGAGATGCTCCTCCTTACATGTTGTGGGTATCAGGTATTTTGTTTCAGTGACAAAAAAAGTAAGACATTATCTAATAGTAATATGTCAGTAATTTTGAAAAATACCATTCAAGTGCTCTAGGAACCATTGATAATGTGGGTGTTGACAAATGGGTTGTGAGCTGTATTCTAGCTTGATCTCAGGCAAGCGGACAGTGGCTCGCACATGGCCAAAAGGGAGATGGGTGAGAGGAATCGTATTTGTGCAGTTTTACTGAAATACGGTCCAAAAAGAGGTGAAATGATAGCTAACTAAAAAAACACTGAAAGCAGTTCCACTTGTTATTCCACTCGGTGGATGAATGAGTGGCCAGAAGAAAGCAAAGTGGGGAAAACAAATCGGCACCGATGTACAGTCCCCTCGAAGTGTGTCGCCTCCGTGTGGCCAGGACTCCTGGTGTTCACGCTCAGAAGCCCAGCTTGTGCAGCACAGCGCTGCAGGCCAAACCAAACATCTAAGAGTGTGCGACTCAAGGGGCAGTAACCTGATCCTCCACCAATGACTAGAAAAGAATGCGCTTGGGCTGTCCGTGACCTCCAGCTTCTTGCAGACTAGGCAAGAACATAAAAAGCTCTGTGCAGAAGGACAAATGGGCTAAGGAAGTCTGAAAGAGATCAAAGCAAGGCTCGGTGCTCAGACCATTCTGTCACAGCTTGGGAAAGTTGGCCCCATGAAATGGCAGCCTCTCTGCCACCTCACAAACCTTCGCTTGAAAGGGATCCCGAATCACTTGCCTCTGCACTGAAATTCTGATGAATCACTTTCTTCTGTACTGAAATTCTGATGAAACGACAAGTTCTCTACTTCTCAGTTTCAAATTCTAGACTTCTGTCACCTAATGGAGACAGCTCAGGAAGGAACGCTTCCAGAACAAGAGGACACATGAAATCCATGACGTGAAACTTCTCTGACAGAAATTCTAGAGCAGTGGTGGTGAGGCTAAGGTGAGGCACGAGGCTGCAGCAGGCCCTGTGCACCACTGAACGCTCTAGGGCTTCCCATCACTGTTCTAGCACCATGTTTACACATCTCCATCTAGAGCGGCTGTCTACCATTAGAATTATTTCTCATTTATCAAATGTTATCTTAGTAAATTAATACAACATTACAACAAAGTACAAAAACACTATTGTGGCTTAATTTTAGGAGAAAGGGCTACATAGTTTTATAGTATATTACCTGCATTGTGCCTACTGCCTCTGATGTAGTAGCCTTTTAGTCCCAAATTGCACAATTTTCGATCCCTGTGAAGCAAATTAAACAGTCCATGTTGAAATAAACTGAACTACCAAGTTGAGAGGAAAAAAAGCACAGATTCACAATAAAAAGGTTGAAGACAAAAAAAGCAGTCTGCTGACACACTTTCTCACTTACATTGCACAGGTCACACTCCTCCCGTGCAGTAGCATGTACATTTCCTACAGTCCACGACACACAGCAGCATTTATAACTACTAACTATATGGAACGACCTGGTAGGATTTCTCCTAGGTACTGGAGGAAGAGTTTGATCACCTTTGTGATATATAAACACTGAAGTATCTTCTAAATTTTGCTGGAAAAACTGAGCTTAAAACAATGGTGAAAAGATTTTGCTTATACACATATAAATCCACGTGCAGAACCCAGTCCATTTGCAAACAAGACAATCTATTCATTGCCTAGTATTCAACTAGTATTGTGTAGTTCATGTCTCAGCAAAGGTTGTTTTACTTATTTATTTACTTGTTTTTGGTGGTACCAGGGATCGAACTCAGGACCTTGCGCTTGCCAGGCAAGCACTTATTCCACTGAGCTACCTCCCTGGCTGCAAAGGTTGTTTTAAAGACTAACAAATAATTACTACATTTTTCTTTACTTCCAGTCATAGTTAAGACTCTTTTGCCAAAAGAGCTGCAGTACTCTAAGTTAAATACAATTCTTCCATTCTTGATTTACTTTCTTACCTTCCTATTCTGGGGGGAGGATATATTTTATAAAACCTAAGTACTGTGGGTGGAGATTCTCAGTGGCACTGGGAGAGACGAGGTGCAAATGTGAGTGCTGAGGATGAGGTGGGGGGCTATACGAGATGCCTTCTGGGGCCCTCAGGACTCAGGTGGGAGACAGGGTCACAGCAGGGCTGTCAGGGTGACGATGAGCAAAGCAGCAAGTGCCCTGAGGTTGGTGACAGCCAAGGGTCTCCTTAATGACAGTATCGTCTTTACATATGGCAGGCTCAAGTCAAATTGTCTAAAATCAAAGAAGGCTAGAAAGAATCCCAAGGTGTTGGTGGGCCAATACTGGAAGTCCTATTATAAATCAATGACATTTAACATACAGCAGCAGCTATAAAGCTTGTTTGAAGCGTACTACATGTACATACTATGTGCATATGCATTCATATACAATATGCATATATACCTGTCTTCTGAAAGGGCATAGAACAATAAGCACAATGAAAATCCACCTTTTGGGCTTTAAACTTTATCTTTTTTCTTTTGTGGCTGCTCGGCCTGCCCTGGGGCAGGGCTGGCGCAGCACGTGGTGCTGGGAATTGAAGTGCGGTCCCTGTGCGCTTGCCTAAGCTGGCACTTTAGACCACTGAGCTATCTCACTGGCCCTGGGCTTTAAACTTTATTCTCTGTTAGAAGAATCAATGTTCCTTGGGTGAATCGTAATTGTATGGGCTGTAAAAACAGTCCTGGGTCACCCCGTGTTAAAGGTTAGGAAGCACTCAAAGAATGCTGGAGACGCAGTAAAAGGACTAAAAGCCACCTCACAGGGTATCGCACCAGTAAAAACGAAGGCAACATGGGACCACGTAATGACAGGAATGAAATAGAATCCATCATTAACTTAAGAATATTAAAAGAATTAAGAACATTATTACCAGCTTCCATTTTTATGTAAATTTTGAAAAAAGGGACAGTGGGAGATTCCTATAGTGTTATAAATTTACAGTGAACTAGAAAATCAAGGCTATATAGTAGGATGCACCTGGGGAACTTTATAACCAGCCAGGAATGGTTATTGCTGTAGATTTGAAAACTCAATAAATTGCATTTTCTCTACTGCAAAAAAAACAACCAAAAAAACCCCTTAAGAATGAAGAATCCAGGGGCCTGGCCCTAGCTCAGTTCTTTAAGTGGCTGCTTCGGCAAAGCTGTCAGCCTCAGGTTGCTGTAGTTCGATCCCCACAACACTCCAGCCTGCCAAACCACCCCGAGGGCATTCGGAGCAAAAAAAAAAGAATGAAGAATCCATGTTGATATGAATAAATAACACAATGATACGAACAAACAACTTCATGGAGAGAAAAGATGAAACACTCCTTTTAGAACACTATCTAATGCAGCTGAGGGGACAAAAGAGTTGCCTTGGCAGCCTTCATGCGCAAGCGGCTTGAGGGGCACACTGTCAGGCAGGCTAAGGTCTGTGGGATGCTGGGAACACAACACTGGATACACAGAATGTGCCCGGTGTCAATCACTCTTCTTCCTGTGAGACAGAATCCCCAATGTCTCAAATCTGGGAGGACATACTCTGTGGCTCACAGTCTGTGGAGCTTTCAGTCCATAATCTGCTGGCTCCACAGCAGGGTGGCACATGGCTGAGGCAACAGTTCACACAGTGGAAGACAGTGAAAGCAACAAGGGAGCTTAACAGCATCTTTGCCCCCTTTATCTTATCCAGATTGCCAGAATCTGGGCAGTGCCAAGCCAGTGGACTAATTTAGCAACGATGCACCTTAATCCCAGCATCACACACTCTGAACTCAGCCACCTCTGACTGCATGAGGCTTTGGGGCAACATCTAGAAGAAACACACCATGACCCCAGCACCAAAAAAGGGGACTGATACAAGGGATAGTGCGACTTTACAGTGCTGGGATTACAGGCATGTACCACTGTCCCAGGCCTTTACGCTTTCTAATACCCACTGCACAATGAAGTACTTGAAGATATGCTCAAGCTTGCCATCTACCTCCTTTCCACGCATGTCTGTAATCCCAGCACTGAGAGGCCAAAGCAGGAGGACACCAAGTTCCTATGCAGCCTGAGCAATTTTGCAAGACCCTGTTTCAGATTAGAAACAATAAAGTGCTGGGCTGAGTGGCAGAGAGTCCCCAGGTTCAATCTCCAGTACCAGAAGAACAAACTGTTGGAACCCCTCAAGATAGATTCCCCCACCTCCACTGGTAGCTTCAATTACTATCTAAAGGTGAATGACACATCTCTAAAACTCCAAATCAGCTCATGCTCACATGTCTCCCCAAAGCCTCAGATGGTCATAGGTGGGGCTTTTCAGAGGTCGTTGCAACTAGAGTGTGTGATGCTGGGATTAAGGGGGGATGCTGGGAGGAGAGTATGTGATTACTAAATAAGTCCACCAATTGGCTTGAGCTTTCTCTGGGTTGGACAATGAGAAGACTCCCCCCTAGGTATGAGTGTTGTCCACCCTAAGGAGTAGGAGGGACAGAAAGAGCCCAAATAGAATGCAAGGGACTATCCGGGTCCCCCTGCAGTGGGCCCCCATCTCCTGCATGCACAATGGCTTCCAGTAACAAGGAAGAGTAAGAGACAAAGTGGCAGTGCAGCCCAGATTGGGGATGACGGTTGTTCAGGGGAGCTAAATGGCACGAGGCACCAGGACCTTGGCGTTCACTGACTACACCTGAGCTGGAACAACGGGTGAAGGGCAGAGTCTTTCTGGAAACAGTAATGGCGACCACGGTGGGCACGCAAGAAGAACGAAGCATTCCTGCAGGGACAAGGACAGGATGGAGGCAGGAAGGCGCCTTGCGGGAGGCACAGCATCACTAGCCATGAAGCTTCAGCTGTGACCAGAGAAAGCAGGGGTTTTGGCTCCAGACTGGCTCCCAGGGAGGACAAGGATGACCTCGGACATCCCCTCGGCTCGGTTTACAATCTGCGGTTCCCAACACTACAGAGAGGGCTGCTAGCGGCTCCCTTCCGGCTACTGTGCTACCCTGCCTTCTGCGCTGAACTGTTCACCTCTGCAGTGCCGCTCTGTAGAGGGGCAGTACCGCTGCCGTGGAGCACCAAGTAAGCCTCTCCTCCTGTCACTCTGGGTGTTGGGTGCTTGTTCCAGTACTGAGAGACACGACTAAGACACCCACACACAAAACGTATCACGCCCCTTGTAAACCTTCTCGGCGCCCCAAATCAAAAACCGCATGCAAAGTCAACCTCAGGAGCTTACTGCTACGCCAGAATGAAACTCAACCTGGCGAAAGGCTGAAACCAGACAACTGCCCTTTACCTGGTCTCCTCCTGCTCTCTGGCACTCCTTCCCCACCAGCTAAGCCCGTCCCCAATGCCGGCAATTTCTCTGCCTTTCTCTCTGTTGGTAGCTGTCACCTGTCCTAAGCCAAGCCTCCTCGGTTCTGTCCTGGACGACAGTCTTCGGTGGTTTTCTGCTTCGCCAGTGCCAGAACACCGCCAAGCTGACCCTCCCACGCACTAGTCTAAGGACTCCTCACCCAGGTGCTCGCGGGCTCACCACGCGGTTACGCACACATTTGCGTTCTCCCACTCATGTTTAGCCGGGTCTATTTCCTTTAGGCCTCTTGTTGCAAGTTACTTTCCAAAAGAAAGCCTGGAGAGCCCTGGAGAAAGGGTGCCACCAAAGCATCACGTAATCCTCTCACCATCTGCAGCTGTAACTAACACAGTGGTGGTGTGCCCAGTTGGCTTAACATGGATCTCCTCTGTCAGAACGCAAACACAACGCACACGGGCACCGGCCTGCCTTCTACCCAAGTGCCTAGTGCAGATACGGCGCCAATACACACAAGCGCGAAACCATTCACTGAACAAGCCCATGCCTGACTAGAAGGGGCAAGTAACTTCTCCATTACATTTAGTATGCTGTTTAATTTGGGGAGGCCAACTTTTAGATTACCCCACAAAAATAATGGAAAAGAAATCTTCAAATTTAGATTTTATTACATTGATGGTCTATCACACAGGATTTTGTTCCACAAGGAACAAATAGGAACCACGTGAGACTCGGGTAAGCGTATGAGATGAAAAATATTTAAGTAGCTTAACTCACATATTTAATATAAAGAAAATCTCTAATATATGCAGTGTATTATTTGTTGAAACTGTACTT